AAGCGTTTTTCGCTAAAAACTCCCGGAGGTTTTGCAGTTCTTGTTCAAATCTGTCTTCCGTGCAGATTCGCCTCATTCTGTCAAATAAGGTCCGAACAAGACCACTTTCATACTCCTTGTACTTACTTTTTTCCTTTTTAATTGTTTGCCATTTATTTCTATTAGGCAAGTTGAAGAAAAGAAGGTCGAACGGGTCAACCGAATGGGCACTATTGTCATGTGATGAACACGAGGTTGTGAAATTTGAGGTTCACATATACGGCCTCTGTCTGGGACGGTCATGTAATGATAATTCCCACCGCTGGACTAAGACAAGAACCACCGGTCAACAGACACCGAAATGAATTCGAACCTCCAAACCTCCGTTCGTAGGGTTTAATCAAATAGTTGATTAAAACTCCTGAGTAAAATCTAAGCATTCTCAATCACTAAGCTGGTTCGTAGGGGGCTTTCTGTGCTTCAGTCTGCTTCATTCGATCCAGGAGAAGTCAAGCGTAAAACAGGTGTGTGATGTTGAATAACTTTTCAGTTGAACTGTTTAATTTCTAATCTAGGCTTGTTTCATCACTATCTGCCAGGCATTCGGGATCATTTCATTTACAAACAGATCGTTCTCTTTCGAGAATTCTGAAATTATGCTTAGATTAGATTCGCCTGAAGTTGTTTATCAGAACTTTTCAATCACCGCAAGATTTGAATGTGCACACATTTAGGAGCCACATGTATCGACACAACGCGATAGAAGTTGCTCACTTTGACAACCCGCTTAATTGATTAATTTACTGAAGTGTTGAAGGATTGTTTTATTGTTTCATTGATTGATGAATCGATCGATTTGAATGTTCCTCATGTACTCGTACCACACTATCACATTACAAATTTATACGGACATTGCTTTTATTTGGCAGCATACGAGATCACAAACCTCAAACTAATTGTGTTACGAGAGCTCGCGGAATCCTACCTAACACGCTGTACGATGCTCAAATGAATCGGTGTTCACTCCCTCGGTGCCTCTTTGGATTCTGTATGATGATCAGAGTGATCCGTGAATTTGCGTCAATTGTTCTATGCTACTCTCACATTTCGTGTGTGTGTGTGTGTGTGTGTAATAAACAATACCTCACCCACCCGCGCACTAATTTCAGTTGTGACTACCGCAAGCGATTGTAAAACAGAATCCTCTCACTGGCATCCGGTCAACGAATTGGCCGATCAACGATATCATTCAATAAATCGCCTCCCTCGTTACGATTACACATTCAACATTAAACTGTTCTATGCCTGTACTGTAGACCCCGATATCAGTATGGATTATGAGTTGGAGCAAATGAATATGTATTCGGTCGATCAATGATATTGGAGTACTAACTACCGGACATGGGAAAATGTGTTTCCAAGATGATATGTTCAGATAATGATTTCTCGATGGTGTCATGAGATTACCAACTCTCTACAGGTAAAAAGGGACTATGGCATGAATGGGTCGTTCTACAGCGGATCGATGCTTAACTTTCCCCGGTTGAGCATAGAAGAGGTCGAACATTGTGTGTTATCGTTCGTTTCTTGTTTTCACCTTCATCTTCTGAGTTCTAATTTGTCCGGAATCATTACATATCACGATACACCCTGAGCAACATCAAGAGCAATTAGGATAAATAAATGGTTGAGAAACAGTTCGATCAACGCAAATGTGTCCAGACTCCTCCAAGTCAGAGACTGTATCAACCAGTACTCATGAGTCAGTAATCGATAGGTAGATCAACACGAGACAGTTCACGAATGCATTTATGTATACACACACACACACACACACACACACACACAATCTCTGATTCTTTTCAGTACAAAGTTATGATCAAAGCTCGGTTTTGTGGCATCATTTTGAACTTTCACAAGGGTTATCAAACTGACAGATTCCCTTATTTTGCACAGTTAAAGCCGGACACCCCATTGACTGATCGATCGTCGCACAGGCGAGCTGACAAACACTGTGCATTGAGCGGCTAAATCGTGCTCAAAATTGTGTTTTACTTTATCAGAATCTTGTACTCGCCATGTGTCTGAGACAATTTTTGGTTCGCTCGCCGAATGGATACACGGATTCTGTTCTGCGGAGTTGAACGAGGTCGACCCGTTACACGGGTGATACAATTTTCGAAAAATTCTTTAGTTTTCACCCATTTTCACATGTGATGCTTTTTAATTTAAACACAACACAGACACACAGTTTGGGTATTTTGGTTCAAAAACCGAGTTCACTTGGATCTGCGGTTATTGTTGGTGGCCGCATGAGTTGCCGTGATGATAGAAATGTGTCTAGAAGAGTTGTGATGTGGACCACAATGAGACAGAGAGGAGTGGGATAAAAGTGGAGGCCTATCAATCACGTGATCCTCTCACACAGTTTTTGAAATTAAAGCAAAATACTCCAAATTTTCTTATTCTAAATCCAAAAGCAAAACACACAAATCCTGATGAAACTTGTGAGATCGACCATTCACAGTACGTTTCTACTGGAATAAACTTCTTCAGTCATACTTTTTAAACATGCCCATTTTAGTGCCATCGGAAGGTAAATCTGTACTACAGAAATATTCTTATCTAGCAATCCTGGACCATGTGCACTCACAAAATCTACCAGACACTGCCTCGAACGTTGATGAACCAGTGCAGAAAACTGTCTAATGCCATCTATTCTATTCAGATTAAATTTATGGATGTTTTAAAAATTTGCTGATGAGTCACATTTTGTCCGCAGTCACACAAGCTATCATCTGTGATTTGCGAGGCGCTCGAGGAGGGAAGCAAATGTTCATTTTGGGCGATTCCTTCTATTGAGCTGATACCACTATCACTACGTGACACACTGACGTGTAGTTAAAAAATACTGGTGTGTGTGTGTGTGCATGCGTGCTTGTGCTCGTGCAGTGAAAGATGTTTGTCAGCGACAGATTGTGACCTCAGACGTGGATTCCGTTTTGCCCAATCGAGTAGTCGTGCAACTTCAGTTTTCACTGTTAGTTCATTGACGCTGACCAAACTGTGACACCATAGTCTACGTTTTAACCTTCCCTGATTGTTTTATTTCAGTATCACGAGGGTAGCATATAAGTGATTTCCTGCCCATGTGAACTACATATTTGAAGCGTAGAAAAAGTACCAGTAATCCAACGTGTAGATCACGATGGGGAACGTATCATCAATCGACAATGTATGATTCTGCAACAGCGTGCCTCGGGATTTAGGCTGTCACGACCACGTG